TATAATTATCACATACATATTTATATTTAAGAACTTGAATTAAAGGATAAATAATTGATAAAGTTGCATAAGATGTTCTACTAAAATAAGTAGTTGCATCATCAAATAGCTCTAATAAATCAACTATTTGCTTTAATAAATCCCATTCATGATGTAATAAAAGTCATTTTTTAAGTTTTTTTCTATCTGCACGATCATTAGAATTTTCAGATAAAGGTAAAGTAGCAGCTAGCCATTCAATAGCTTTATATAATTTTAATAAATGATGCCAGGAATGATATTTAGAATTCTATCGTGTCTTAATATCAGCAATATTTCTTAAAATTGATTCATTTGGATTAGATGAAATATTGATAGTATTAAAATCATTATCACTATCATCATTATTAGAATTATCATTATCAGAAGATTCTAATAAAAATGTATGTTATTGATATTCTTTTTGAGTATCATCAAGGTATTCACTTTGTTTAGAAGAAGTTGTAAAAAATCGTACTAAACGTTTAATTCATTTAATATAAATGCTAGATTTTTTAAATGCACAGTAAATTGAAAACTGTAATGTATGAGCAGCACAAGATAAACGCTTAATATTTTCCTATAAATCAATTACTTGAATCATGTTACTACCATTATCAGTTATAACACAGATGATTTTTCCATCTAAATCAAACTTAGATACTTTTTTTTAAAAAAAAGTTAAGATATTTGCTCTAGAATGTGGATATGTCATACAGAAGACAGTCATAAACATCAAAATCACTTGACATCCAATGTAAAATTATACCAATATATCCATGTTTACTTCGAGCTGTCCAAAGGTCTGTTGTCAAAGAAGCTATTTCGCAGATATTTACAAGTAGCATCTTTAATTCTTCAATTGAATTAGTGTATCCAATATGAATTTTCTTTTTAATTCGTTTATTAGAAGGAATTAGAAATACAGGATCAATAATTGTCATCATTTTTCGATAGCATTTACCCTGAATTACATTAATTGGAAGATTATCAACAACAATCCATTCAGTAATGGCTTGCCTAATTTTTTTATTTCGTGATTCTTTATGCGGTTTTATTTTAAATCGTTCTAAGATTTGTGGTAGAGTTAATTGAACAGATTTATCTTGAAGCTGTTATAAATAAATAAATAATTAATTAAATTTTAATAAGAATTTTTAATAATTATTGACCATGAAAAATTATAATAAAATAAAAAATTAATATTACCTTATTCATTTTCTCATGAATATTATGTTTTCCGTGAAGGTGGTTTGCCATATTACCTGTAGAACCATTATATAAAAATCGTTGATCACAATATGTTGCTTCATTTTGTAAATTTAAAATTGAAACTTGACAAATATCATATTTGACATCTTGATCTGTATTGAAATATTCCCATACCTAATTGGTTTTGACATATTTACGTTTGGGTTTATTTACTTAAACTTTTTTGATATACGTGATTATTCTTCATCAAGAAGATTTTCTGGAGTTAATGATCGAGCTTTATTACTAAGGCAAGGATATGTTATCATCATCTGAATGTATGTTAGAAGGATTTTCTTCAGAAGGTTCATCATTCATCATTTTTCGAGATTAGGAGGTAACTAATTAAAAATTAAAAAAAGACAGCTTGGAAGAATCTCATAAATTTCTTCCATATTTAAATTTTTTAAACAAGTAGAAAACTCGTTAAAAGAGGAAAATTGATATTTTTTGGTAAAAATAAATAAAATTTACACCTTAAAATTAAAATATTATCCTTAAAAAAAACATTTTCGTTTAACATATGCATATCGGCAAATTAATTAACTAAAATATCAATCTTGTGAAAATTATGTCATAATTTGACAGTTATGTCAATCATCTGATTATCAAAAAATATTTGCATCAACTGGGTTAATTAACCTGAATTAATAACTGGGTGATTTAATCGGGTTATCTGAGTTGTTAAATTCTAAACCAGATCAAACTGATTTAATATTGGTGATCCGGGTGACTAAAAACCAGTTCCAAACTCTAAAATAAACAGTATTAAAGATATTTTTATATTAATTTATGCTTCGAACATTTCTAATGGTTCCCATTACCTAATATTAGTAATACTTAATGATACTATTTAAAATCTATTTTAATGCATAATTTAAAAATTTAAAAACTTTTTTAAAATCTTTAAAAATAATTTTTTTTTTTAAATCTGAACTTGATTAAATTTAATTAGGTTTAGAAAAACCTATTAAAAGTTTAAGTAAAGATATTTATTATAAACAAATAATTTAATCTCAAAAAATCTTAAAATTCAAATTTTTTAAAAATAGTTTAGGAAGGCATCATTAGTAATACTATAATAATATTATTTTTAATAAATAAAATTAAGTATTATAAAGTAATTTTTTATTTGAAATTATTTATATTAAATTAATTGCATTATAAATTAATCCAATATAATCAATTATAATAATGTAAATTATTTATTATAATATTTTATTTATTACTATTGCAATAATTGTGAATTTTAAATTTTATAATATAAAATTACTTTTTGATTTTTATTTTATTATTCATTCTTTAAGTAATTTTATTAATGTTTACTATATATAGAGTGTAGTTTGATAGATAATGAGTTAGTTTTTCTTATGATTTTTTTTCTTTTTTATGTATTTTTCATGTATTATATTTTCATAATTTATTTACTTTTTGCCTTTTAATTGGAAGATCATTATTATAAAGAATATTACTGAATTTATTTTGTTTAATATATTTTCATTATAAATTTTATTCTGTTGCTCATTTTATCTATTGAAGTTTATAATAATTGAGAATATAATTAGGTCACATCCTTTGATTTGCTAATTTTGCAGACATATCTTTTCAACGAAAAGTATATTTATACATTTTTTTTTATATCAATATATGGGAGGTTTGCTAGGAAAATGGGGCTCTGAGCATTTTTTAATTTTTATTGCATTTTAATAAAAATTAAAATTTTAATAAAAAATTCTCAGAGCCCCATTTTCCTAACAAACCTCCCATATTGTGATAATAAATATAACCGGTTTATGTTTAAAGCTTCGGTATATTCATATCGCTAAATTTATAATAAATTTTATAGATTTTTTTTTTTAAAAAAAAAGAACCAGTTCAAAATTACAAGCTATTCAATACTTTAGAGACTCATGATGTTGATTGTTACTGTCTATTAAGATTGCTCTATTATTTATTAAGAATATATATGCCAACTATATAACATCAATACATTTTCTAAAACACGAATTCTTGATTTTGATAAACGTTGAGTCAATATATCGAATTTTGAATTTTTCTTGAATCACGTGTTTAAATGTCGGAAAAAAAAATTAAAAATTGTCTCCATGAAATTTTCATTTAATAAAAAAAGAATTGAACTGGTTACAAAATAAATTATCTATTACTTATTCTACGAAAAAAGGTCCATATAATAGCACTTTAATCGCAGTGTACATTATATCAAAAATTCGGGCGAAAAATGTCTTACTTCGTCGTCGAAATTTTAATAAATATTGTGGTGATTGTGTTGCATCTTTGCATCTTTGTAATATACTGTGATAATAATCCGAAAACATTGTATAATATTTGAACCACTAAAAGGTATCAGTGTCTAGATATTAAATTCTTTATATATAAAATAAGATAAAAAAAAAACAATGCTCCTAATTCATCATCTCACATGAATCAATAGCGAAGAGAATCTCAGACGTTAGACTGCGAATAATATATAAAAGTAAAAATCCTGCCGAACATCATAATCCACGAAAGAGTATGATAGATTATATAATATATGCTAATGACCATACCCAATGTATCATAACAAGGAATTTTCGCTATACGTAGTGAGAAAAGATGAAAGGAATCTCTATCCAATAATTTGCCTTACAAATCCACATTAGTTTGTTATGACAAATCCATCATCCCATTTTCTCCATTTAAACCTCTTGACGTTCTTTTTCCTTTTTTTTCTGCAGCTGATGATCCCTACATTGAAATCAAAACTTTTATCAAATATGAATAGAATACTAAAAATAAACAAATATTTTTCTTCTATTGTATATAATTACATCATCAATTGCCATATAAGCATCTAAGTCCGCGTCAAGGTCATCGTACGTGACAGGCTTGCGATTAGATGATTTTTGTGAAGAGTTGTTAGTTCGACCACGTCCGCGACCACGACCCCGAGATGCCGGAGCAGGTGGAGCAGCGTTACCTAGCCTTTCACGAATATTTCCGCGAGCGGACTTACTAATTATATTTAAATGCAAAAAAAAAGAAAAGGTTTGATTTATATATTAAGAAGGATAATAACGTAAAAAGACATAAAATAAGCCTTTTTAGAAGTTGAAAGTATATGCAAGTTTTCGCGATTACAATCCTTTCAACATTTATATAAATGTTGATATAACGGAAGGAATTTTAAATAATACGGCTTATTGATGAGTATAAGGTATTTAAACACATACATTGGTGCACCACCTAAACGGTCCATAACTGAGCCACCATCAGTGTTAGAAGAACTACGCGCAGTTGTATTTCTCTGCGCAGGTTTAAACGGTGCATATTTAATTTTCATTTGATGCCCTAAGTCAATAAAAATAAAAATTAATAAATAAACGCTAATATTAAAAGTAATCCATCCATTGCAAATTGCAAAATAGTACCATCCAGAGTCTTTCCATCGTATTTCCGTAGAGCTGCTTCAGCCTCTGAAGGTTCTTCAAAAACAACATCAGCTACACCGGTACTTCGTCCAGCACGATCATAGTGTATATGAACTTTCTTGACAGTACCACATTCAGAAAATAATTCCTACATAGAAGAATTCATTAATAAAAAGAATAAATTTTTCATTAAATATTTTATAACTAACCTCAAGATCTTCTTGAGTTACTTCATAAAATAAATTTTCCACGACTAGTTTATTATTTCCATTAGGATTAGAAATAATTCGTCTAGAGCTAGTAGCGATAGAACGGCGATTGTTGGAACTACTTTCCTCAAATAGATCGTGAGACCATTGCCCATTTATATCACCTCTCGGAGGACGCTATAATAGATGTATAAAAATATATAATAGAAGAATACAAGCTTATAATTAATTTAGGTTTGAACATTTGCCTCTTTTAAATAGGCAACTGGTAATAACTTACCTATATAAAACAAATAAACCTTTGAAACATTTTATTTAAGTAAGTTGTGTTTTAAAACATTGAGAAGTCTATAATTACCTGCCGTTCGTAAGGGGCATTTCTAAGACGAGCATTGCGAGTTAAAGTACCTCTGACGTGTGAAGTTGAAACACGTCCACCTCTTCGAGAAGATCTGTGGGTTCTTCCCCTTGGCTTTCTAAAATCGTCAATTACCATATTTAAAGTATCACTCATTTTGTAAAAATTTACTTTCGATATAAAAGATTCACTTCTAGGAATAGTCAATCTTGTACAAAATTAATAATATATAAACCAACGGGATGGTTTAAATAGAGGCTGAAAAAATGATTATTTTTTTTGTTTTTGTTTGTGTCTAATGAATGTCTCTGGTTATAAGATGAGTCTTGGACTCTATAAACTCTATTATTAATAAGTTTCAAGTAAAATATTTAAGGGGAGTACTAAATTAGAGATACCAAATTAGGACGATCCTCTAATCCTGAGATCATTGTGGCACAGCAAACAAACCCATATTACACAAAATAATAAAATAAGTAGCTTGATTTTATATAGATTTTAAAGAGAAAAATATATGTATTTTTATCAAAAAAAAATAAAAATGTGTTATTTATTAACATGTGAAAATGTTTTTAAAAAAATATTTAAAGAAACTAATTAATATTATTAAAAAAATTTAATAAATTATTCAAAATAAACTAAATCAAATGGTTGATTTTAGGCTGACTGATAGCTAATTTATATCTAATTTACTTTAATTTTGATTAATAAAATTAAAATCAATTAAAAATAGTCAATCAGTTATAAATCAGAGCATTAATCAGTACATAAAGTCTATTTAAAATAACATAAAATAACTTAAAATCAGATTAAATTAGCTATTAATTAGTTTAAAATCCCTAATCAACTTAAATAAATCAAAATTAATAATAACAAATTTGACGTATATATTGTATAGTTCTGAAAATAAAAATCTTTTGTAAATAAGCATCCTCATTTTTTAATATTACCTGAAAATAAATACAGTCAGACCTATATATAAAGTCAAAATGAATACCCAAAAGTCAAAATGTTTCGACTTTGGAGGTCAAAGTCGAAATGAAAAGTCAAAATGGTCGAAATTATGTTATATTACATGATTTTTTATATATAAAAAAACAAAAAAAAACAAAAGATGTATGATCTCAGTCAATATCGCTCCGATTCGTATGAAATAACTACCATTCGATTTCTTGCAACTAGACGAATCCAATAAGCTAACATTCATTGAATTTTAATCATTTTTTTAAAGATGTAGTAATGCATTTATTTATTATAAAAATTCATAATTAGTTAATTAAAACATAAAAATCCCAAAAAGGATACAAATGTAGAAAAATAAAAAAATGCTGCCTAATAATCATCATTAGTAGACTAACTCCAATCAGACCAACCGGTTGTCCCATCAGGCTTCGGTAACAATCACTAGTAGAATTACCATCGCCATCCAACTAAAAAAGAGAAAAATATTTGACAAATAGTTATTACTGCGTTAGGAAGAAGGACCATTTTCGTCCATGAACAAAAGATTTGGTCATAAGAGAAGTATGATCATATTTATAATCAGGTAGAGATAACGATGATTTTGAAAAACTGTTAATAGAAAAATTATTAAAAGGACTATAATTTCATTTTTTGCTATATTTCAAGATGTTAAGTGGATTTTACTTCCGAAAAAGAAAAATGATCGGAAAAAATTAACCAAAAACCTAATTTTTTTTCTGATACTGGTGATCATTTTTTTTCTATAGTAGCTACACATCTAGATTTCCAGATAACTTCGTAAGATTGATCAACAATATAATCATAAAATAGGGAAAGGATTTTAGAGGTGTGAGAGGAAGAGTTAGTAAAGGAGTCAATGAAATCTATAACTGTAATATTGTAAGAATTTTCTTTCAAAACCCAAAAAAAATATGATGGGAATAACAATGAATTTATGTCAGGAGGATAGACTGTTCGTGAAGTATGGATGAAAAATTGATTTTTTAGAACATTAAGAGCGATAGTGATAATTTGTTTCATCTCTTTTTTCACTTTAGGATAAATCCATATATGATTAAAGAATTCTTTGTTAGTATTACAATGACAGCACATCCATGAAGAATTATAAATAGTAGGTTGAGTTGCTTTTATAAATTCTATTGTAAGAATTTGTTCAAATAGGAATCTAAGTCTTCTGTAGTATGCTCGAGACTCTTTAAAGGAGGTTTCAGTGGGAGTGCTGAGTTTGATAAAATCAAAGTTAATGACCAATTGATTTGAAGTTGACTGTATTTACTATTTTTTTTTAAGTAGTAGAAATCAATGAATTGTCTATTGTTAGTGCAGTCTTTGAGAAATAGACGTAATGTAGTAAAGATAGGCATATCGTTGAATGTAGGAATGTAGGAGAAATAAGGAATTTGGTTAAAGATTAAAGGTAAAGGTGATGACATTAAAAAGGATTTAGCAAGTTGATCAACTCTGTGATTATGTGGATTAGAGCTCCGAATCAGGTCAGGTCAACCTGTGACCTGATCCGACCCGACCTGAAAAATCCAGATTGGGTAGACAAATTTTCAGGTCAACATCAGGTCGGGTCAAGCTTATGACCCAATCTAATAAAATTCAGGTCAACCAATCAAATTAAACGAAATAAAATATTTAAAAAAAAAATTTTTTTTTGTTTATTTTTTTTTTAAAACATCTTTAATTTTATTTAATATACTTTCTTTTTATATTCTAATAAAGTT